CATATGCGTACACGGGTCAGGAATAGGTAATTTCTGAAGTATTTTTGTTTTAAAAAATCCATTGATATGAGTGTTACAAAATATTTTAATCTTTTGTATATTATGTAACTCGGCAGGGGGACTCTTATTACGATATTAAAGTTATCCAGGGAAAGATTTATAATTATAAATAAGTAGTAATAGTACCTATTCCGTAGCTGTGGGTTTGACTGGTTTGAGCACTCTGCACTGGTACCTATGGGGTTTCTGCCCATAAAACAACGCGTCTGGTTTACAAATCTAGAATAATTATTGATCCACCTTTTTATAAATACTATTTTCCTGTGTCGGAAGATTGCTGTTAATAATAGCGTATCGACAGGGCCGTATTTAGGGGGGGGGGGGGTGCAATGGTGGGGACATTTGCACCGGACGGCCAAATATTGATCTTGTTAGAGCCGGCCGGGCCCCGCTGTAACCCAGTGTTGTATTGTATCAATAAATAATTTTTTTTTGGAAAAAATTCGTTCTACACGACCCTTGTGAAATTAGTAGTGCAACAATAACGGATAAGTGCTACCTGGAATATAATTAATATTATTTTAACATATCCACGGTTGTAGATTGACTACCATGACTATATGACTAAAGAATTATAACTAAAAATGTGTTAAGAAAAAAAAAAGTGGATCTATTTTTTGGCGGTAGGGAGGGGGACGTACAATTATAGTTGATCCAGGGAGCAAAAATTGTAAATACGGTCCTGCGTATCGATGAGTTCGATCGTGTTGATGATGACTATCGTGTGTTATTTCAACAATAAGTAACAATGCGGATGAAGTATAAAAGTGCTAAGTACTCAAGTGTGTTAATATGTTGTGTTGCTGAATTATATTATGGTGTGTATTTAGTGTACAAATTATACAAAGATGTAACAAATGTTACACTTAACATAATTACATAAATACATCTTTATTAAATAATGATTTATTTAGTGACGTTTGTGTCAGTTGTCCAATTATTAGATGCTGTGATTTTACTTTCACTAGTTTCACCTTTATATAGTTAACAATTATTTATAGTATTGCCTACTTACAAGTTTTGGTTTTTTTTCAGATCCAATATGTTGTGTCACATTAGTCATAACATAAATGTTTTTGATCATTTGAACGTTTTGAACATTTTTACACGTTATAATTTACAATACGAAATTGCACGGGTGGATGAAAATATATAACTCCCGAATTCGGAAATATAACTCCATAACTCTGTAAAAACGGTTTGTACAGATTGAAAAAAATTTAATAAAATTAAACGAGGTGACTACGATATCACATTATTTACAACGTCCAAACGTCTATTTCGCGGTCAACAAAGTCCTAACGTGTGAAATGTTGATGCATTATCGTGTAAGGTGATTTAGCCGATATCTGATAAGATAAAATAGGTACAGGTCGAAAATTCGAAACTATACTGTGTATTGGTGTGGGCTTCGGCTTGGTAATTCTGATTTGAATTCAAAAATAAATTAGAAGTCGCTTTGCTCTACAATAATTGCCGAATTGGTAAAGGTTTTTCCAGAAGGTTGATTGTGGTGAGGAGGGTTGATCATAAGTTCTGACGGACTAATACGAGTTATTGGTTCCCAAATATCTAGTTGGTTCCCGGGTCGTCTACAGGTAACATATGAATTGGTTCCTCAGGTTCCTCAGGATCCTGGGTTCTTTATAGGTAACACCCGAATATTGGTTCCAATGAGCTTTCACATAATACTTATAATAGTAATCATTAAATTAATTTTCCAAGTTATTATGATATATTAAACCAACAAAAATGGCCTTTCCATTTAATACTGACTTAGAACTGTCTAGAATGCGTAGCCACCTATGATTAGAGGCGTTGCTATAGTCGGTCTATTTAATATACATTATGTACATTGAGCGCTAATACGCTATGTTATATCATGTGTTTGTCGATGCTAATAATAATAGAATATTAGAATAATAATATCAATAAAATTATGGTATCATAATAAGTAGGTCGATGACAATAAATAATATTTTCAGAACAATTAACTAGGTAAGTATATGCATTTATAACATTAACATATATTTTTGACGGATTCTGAGTTCAAAACTTGGCAGTTATTGAATTTTTTAATATTTTCAAAAATAAACTTTTCTTTTTCAGCAGATATATTTAAAATCTTTCCTAGACATCATAAAATCTAATAAAATATCTTAAAAGAATATAAGATTACCAATTTGTAATATGAGAGCCAACTCGATCGTATGATAGTTGAAAAGTAATTTTTATCGGGAACCAATTCGTACAATTTATTTAACCCGGAATCTAATTTCGTATTATCTGTTCAGGTTCCCTTCTAAATATTTTTTACTTTTTATTAAAAATGAACATAAAATTTCAAAATAGTAAACATATTCAAATACACATTTGATAAAAATGTTAAGCACCTACGATTAACAGTTTTTGATTAACAATGAAAAATAAAATTGTTACCTATATGAGAATTTGTTAATTTACGGGTGAATATCCAATTTCTAACTTTAAACGCTTCTAAAAAATAATTTGAGTTTCCTGTAAACTTTTTTTTTTTGTTAAATGTTGGGAAACTTAGGAAGAATCTTGTATTATATTTTCGAATCTTAGATATAAAAAAAACATTTTTATGAATTTCTAACTCAAAATGATTTGCAAATTTTCGTAATTTTTACGAATTGTATCTTAAATTCTACCGCTCATAAACAAATATTGTGGATATACACTCAAATTTTTTTTAAAATTTTCTTTAACAACTACTACGAGGAATTTTGTATTACATTTTCAATCCTTTTCTTAGTTAAAACAAACATTTTCAAAAATCTATCCTAACAATGCCTTAATTTTTTTTATCATAGTTTTGAAATTCACTCGAAAATCCTTTCACCGCAAAATTCAATAACATGTTAACTGTGTATGCGAATACCCAGCATCGGGTGTCGCAGCTAAGTTTGAAAAACATTTTCGAATTGTATTTTTTCAATTTCTGTATAGGACACCATTTACATGAATTCACAATCCGAATTTGAGAGATCGCAAAACACCCTTTCTCCTTTAAAATTGATGTAAAATATAGATAGCGCTTAAATATGATTTTCTTTGTTTTCATCCTTTTGTAGTTAAGAGTAACATTTTTGAATTTTTTTTATGAAATTGTAACTTATTGGTTCCGTAAATGTTGTAGCTTACAGTTAGTAATAAAGGCTGACAGACCTCTGAATTCAGAATAGTTTTTCGTATGTAATAATGATTTATCATTAAGGTCAAGTTTAACTGAAACATTACAGTGACTTAGGTACTCAATGTGACGAGGTATCTACACTCAAAACCTCTTAGTAAGTTAACCTCTTTCAACACTTTTTATGCCCATGTAAAAATGAACATACACACTAACTTGTACTTATATTATTCTTTGCACAGTGTATTTTTTATTTTTAGTTAAAAAACTAACTAATTTTGATTACTATATATAATATTGTCTATATTATGACACGCATTTTGTTTTTCACATTTGATTACAGAACTCGATTCATTGACTATTTTTTTTATTAGGTTGGTACCTAACCTAGTAACCTAGCTGCAGCTAAGGGCCGGTCCCGTTGGTTATTTCAATTTTTATCGTGTAAATTATGCAGATGGTATATATATAAATAATTAATATTATCTTTTTTTTATACATAGGATACATATTATAATTTAAAGTTGACGTTATCGACTTTGATTATTAACTGTTTTCTTATATCGGCAGGTAGTTGTAGCAGGTGTGCACAACAAATAAATTAACAGGTCGTTTGTTTTCTTTTAGTTAAAAATAATTTAAAAACAACACACCTTTTACGAATTGCTGTCGTTTAACATCACTCAGTGGTAGCATTGTAATAATATTCAAAGGCCATGCCAAGATTTAAGTGAGGTGAGTAGTACTCGCCTAGTCGCCTACCAATGAAATATTTAAGTCTACGAGTTAATCCGACGATATTCGACAGAAACCGTTAGTAAACAGTAATATTGCTAACACGCCGTACACACACGGATGAAGTATACTATATAGTTAATATTATTAAGTAAGTTTTATCAATGGTTTTATTGATCACTAAAATCTATAACTTTAGCTGCAACTTCAAAACTATCGACTAAAAACTATAGTCTATAGTCTATAGACGATCGAATGGTGTCGGCTACAAGCTGGTTGAACAGTAGCAGCTAGCTGGTGCTTACGATTAAAGCGGATGTTTCTCTGAAGATGAAAGAAATTGGTAGGTAGGGATACGATTTGGTATACGAAATTGGTAGGTATAAGAAAATTGTCAGTGTTAAATGTATAATTGTATTATTGTACGGGAAAAACGAAATGAATTAATAGCGGGGGGAACAATTGCGAAACTTATTGAAACATAGTAATATTGAAATATTACAACGTCCAAATTAGTGTAGAGTCACAAATGTCAAATTTTATACGATTTATAGTTGTTTTTATTTTTTTAAATATTAATCCTTATAACGTATATTGTCGGCCCAAGTTGCAAAGGGCGTATGTCCAAAATCACAAATTTTTCAGGATAAGAAAAAAAAAATTAGACATTTTTTTCCCCTTCATTTAAAAAACATAATCGTTATTATCTTAGAAAAATTTTAATATTGTAGTGCAAATTAATGTTTTTTAAGGGATTTAGAACTTTTTCTTCTTATATTGTCTAATAAATATGGAGTTACGACATTTATGATATTTTGTACAATGGACTAACAACAATTTCTTCTTATCCTTATAATAAATTATTAATTCCTAATTTATATGATATGACACACAGCTTTTAAGCATAATAATAATAAAACAATTACAATTGGTACAATATTACAATAATTTATTAAACAAGTTTAAAATAATAAACAATAACTTTTAATAACATAATATTATATTATACATATTTATATAGATGCAGCTCTAGTAGCTATATATAAACTTAAGTATGACATTTACACTTTTCTGAAATAACAAAGTTTTTAGGCATTCGACGTATCGCGAACGACTTTATCTAAGACCAGACTTTGCAGGGTTTAGCTGGGCGTATAATATATTTTATTTATGGTGCACAATACTATTATTATTCAGTTCCATATCACCCGAATGAGGAAAAAAAATAATAGAGGTAAGCCCTATCGAACACTTAAGTACCGTTCAAACTGCTTTGGTTTTTCGTGCTACCACACGACGACTCGCGTGACGGTCTGTCGTTAAATGTCTGAATTATTACGACAAGCCTGCACAGCTGACAGCGTTATTCGGCGTGGGCGTTATGCATGTTGAACTTCGGGCATTGAGCCGACAACTATGTTATGAGCGTTAATAGTATAATATGGGGAAGTATATTATATTTTATATGAGTATGGGAGAACGAAATAAATTGATAAGGTGGAAAAAATCGTGAATCTAATTGAGACATAATAATACATTTTTCAATTTTTGTAATACCGTGGCCAAAAGACACGAGTCACAAATGACAAACTTCGCATGATAAAGTTGTTTTTAAATTTTTGTTTTTTTGATGTACCTGGGTGTATGATGTGTACAGGTTCATAGTATATCCAACATGGACATATATTTGTTTATACTGATCTCGTGCTAAGACGACAAAGTTTTTCAGTCGTCGTTCCCACACGTGTTTGAGTCAATTTAATTGACTCGACTTTGGGTTATGATTTGAATAGTAGTACATAACCCACCGCCGCGGTCGACTACCGAGTGCGATACTTTTGAATTAGCTCATTGTTACATGAACAGTTTTTTAAACAATTCTAAGTATGTTCAGGTAAGTTTTTTCGTTATATGTGTGTAATCATTGAAAACTGAAGGACCGTTCATTTTGTAGGCACCATGGCGTATTGGCGTGAAATGAACAAAGCGGTTTTGGTTTTTTGAGCAAGTACGACGACTTGCATGGCGAACTACCGTCAAATGTCTACATAATTATTATGCGCGGGCAATGGGAATTGTGCATACTCCAATTTTATTTTATTTGTAGAAACTTAATTTCAGACAAGTCAGAAACAGAATTATTTAACGATTTGAGTTTTTTTTTGGGATGATCATGGCATATAGATTAAATATAGAACTACAGACAGGCAACACCCATGCAATCATTTATCGCTCATTATTTTAATTTTGATTTGACTCACTAGTGGTACATACAGATAGGCTGTAGGAAACAAGTAGATACTTATTTTATCACTTTCTTCTACCAAAACGCGCCACTAGGGAGTCAAATCTGAATTAAAATATAATGAAAGGTAAATAGGGGTTGCCTATCTGTATAGTATCATTTAAATGTATGATCATAGTCAATATTTACGTATTTGTGCATGCAGAAGTATGCGGTAGAAGGGTTGCTTATTATGCTTAATAATTGAATAATAAATTATAGTTGTAAAATTGAAAGTCAAAATAATAGCTTTTGTCATGCATACTATAATATGATATACATCCATACATGAAAATATATAAATAATAAATGTGTATTCATTATCGCCAAGTTTGCGTATTATGTTATACGTATAATTATATAACTTATTACGGTTTTCGCAAAATATATATTATTTTAACTTTTGTTTACAGTAAACTCTAAGACAGGCCGCAATAATAAGACGCAGCGATATAAGGGTCCGCTATAGGGGTGCCAAAGTACGCTCTGCCACCTACCCCCAACACAAAAAATGGCGCCAAAGACGGAGAGCTAAACAATAATGCGTCGCGGATGGTTCGGCCGATTGGTCGGATCGGCAGCTCAGGCCACGGTGGCCGCGCTGTGCGTGTTCAACTTCGTGATGACGCCCCACTTTGAGTGTATGCTTGACGGCGACAGCTGCGACGAGCGCGTAAGCATGATGGCCGGCATCTTCGCGCGGTCGGTGAGCATCGCGTGCCTGGTGACAGCGGTCATCGCGTGGCACAAGTACAACGATGCCCTGGCCGAGTACCGCGAGCGCGCCGAGCTGCACGACGCTTACGCGGCACCGGCCGCTTCCGCCAAACCGCTTTACGTCGGCCACGCTACATACGCCGGCGTCGTGTTGTGTACGTGTTTGGCGCTCATCGTGCCCATCAACGTGTTCCGTTTGTACCGATTCGTCTTAGACAGGCGACCGGTGTCCGTGATGGTGTACTTTGTACTCATGTACTCGCAGAACCTTTACGTGTGCCTGTACGAGACGCTCTTCGTGCGGCTGTTCTACAAGCTGTACACCAGGTTCACGGACCTCAACCGGGACATGGAGGCCATCGGCGAGCGGATCGAGGACGGCCGGTGCGCGCGAGACAACCCGCCGCCCGTCCGCGGCGGTTGGATACCATGCGACAGGGATGACGAACACCGGCCGCATCTCTATTACTCGTCGGCCACCGGACAGCCACTGGTGGCCGCTGTCGAGCAGCTCCGGATCAGGCACCGGCTGATCCGCGAGGCCGTGGACGCGCTCAAGCCCGCTTTTGCCGTACCCATAGGCCTATCGCTGTGTAACCTGTGCGTGATGATCCTGTTCGATGTCTACTACCACCTGAAGAATGCTGTATATCAACCCGCAGGCACCTGGGCCAACGTTTTCATATTCATGTGGCTATCCCAGTACACTTTTCGATTTTTCATCATCACCATGACAGTGGACGTCACCATGAAACAGGCGAGTTGATAATATTGACATTTCGGTGGATATCGAGGACTTGAAAAAACCTGAAACATCTGCCAAGCACTGAATCATTCCTTAAAAAAATTAATGAGAAAATAATAATTGTAATATCATTGTAATTATCATTTATTGCATTAAAATGTTGCTTTTGCGACACTTTAGCAAGTGCATTCTTGAATTAGGTACGAACAAATGTTTATTTCCAAACTGATTTCTTGTAAATTCAACAGTATTGACGTTGTTCATTAGACTTATTATAATCCATTTTATTTTGAGATTTATTTCTTGTTTATACATTGTATGTTTACTCTATATAGGCACACAGGTCGAAAGAAACAATAACGGACGTAAGCAGAAATTGTTTAGATGTTAGTACGAAAGAAGAGGTTATTATTGTTTATTTTACTTTCTTCGCTACTATATTATTATAAACTATCTAATTATGAAAATTATTATCTTATGTTTTTTAGTTGCAAATATTTTCAAATCAAATATCTAGTACTACATTAGAATTTACGATGTGTGATCTTTTCACTTTAAATGCACGCCTCTTCACATCTGTAAGTTAAACACAAATGTAAAATATAAAATATTATGAAGGGATATTTTTAAGTATAAGTTATCCATCGATGAGTATTACAATGTATTAACGAGAGTTATAAATATATTGTACAATAAAATGTATTAACAATAATAATTTTAAAAAAACTAATTAAATTCGAAATTTTCTTATGCCTATAAATAGCTAAGACATCACAATATTTTCAAAATCGTATGGTGCTTAGAGTTACACTAAAAAACAAAATCGATTTTTTCAAAAACCAGTTTTGTTTAAAAACCTTAATGTTTTGTTTATTTTTCCTGAAGCTTTCGAAAACAAAGAGAACTCTTTACGTTTGACCTCCCCACAGTACTAATTAGATTTAGTTTCCTACCATCAAAGAGTCTGATCAGACTGATGAAGAATTTTTATTAAAACATTTTTATTGTTCCAAAAAGTGATGTGAGGTACACAAAAAAAACACATATCCTTGTAAAATCAATATCTAAAAATATATACATGATAATACTCTATCCAAAATAAGAACTCACCGGGTGGAGGTGAAAACTGGTTGTAGTTTGCGCATTCGCCCCACTCCACAGACCATTGCCGTTGACACCTCGCACTCTGCTTACACCCTCGCCATGCTGTCGTATACGCGAACGCGGTGCGTTCTTATTCTAGATAGTCCCATTCAACACGAATGATTTACGTACCTAGTTAATTTTAAATATTTGTTCTGTTTTGTTTTAGGCGGTGGGTGTCTGTATCACGTACCTAGTAATATTACTCCAGTTCAAAATAAAGGTGGATAATGTTTACTAGAAAAAAAACGTTCAGAAATTAACCATATGTGTGGTGGATACCTTGAAATAAATAACAATGATCGTGTGTAAGTACATGAGCTGCATTTTATAATATTATATAATAATATATACCTAGTGATAACTAGGCATAGGTGCATTGGAGTAATTTCTAGGTGAGTTTTCCGGTATTTAATCCACGGACGATAAAATAATTCGACATTTCCACTAAATAGTAAAACAAATTTTTAATTATAAATAGTAAATACCTGCATTTGTCTTTGAGTCGATGGCCGATCGTGGACATAACTTCAGAGTTCAAGGCATGCAGTTATACGACGAGATAAAATTATTTTTAAACTATTTCTTACATTGCTAAAATTTTAACTTTTATAAGCACATAGCAATAAACATACAATTTTTGAACAACACTAATCATATACCCACTATTAATCGAAAATGAGTGTGGTGCGTTTATATTTTATACAAATAGCTTAATACATATTGACATTATTTGATTATAATATTATGTATGTTTAAATATTTCACTGTCAAAAATGAAGTGTTGGAAAATGATTCATTTTCAGTATACTTCATTATATTTCATAAAACTCATACATTAATGAAAATATTTGATAATAATAGAAGCACGACACCGATTTAACGTAAGTAAACCACAATTATTGTGAAATGTATGCTAACTAATACTTAATTATATTGTTAGTAAGTACATAAATCACTTTTTATTTCATTATGTTTTTTTTTATCAATATTTGTAGTTTGTACAGTATTTTACGAAAAAAATTAGTCACTAGTGAAAAGAATAAAAGATAAGTTACAAATTTATTTTTGAATTTTTCTTTTTGAGAGAAACCGGCAGTTCTTAGAACAAAAAACAGTCAAACTGAATTCAACATTAAAAAATAATGGGGCCTGGTATGGCTCGGTGATTGGCTTATGTCACTAACGTGTTCTGAGGTCAAGCATCGGTTGGCGTCGCTAGTTCCCAGATGGGTGACCACCCAGGTTTTCAGTGACGAATCCTCGCCCCACATACACGTGTTCCTTTTTGATAATTTGATAATAATTTCAAAAATAGTTTTGGATTCTTCACAAAATGTAGGTACTATGAAAAACGAACGAAGCAACTATTGATTTTATTTCTAAATGACAGTACAGAAGGTATTTGTTAGAATAGACAAATTGTAGTCATTTAAAATATAAAATTAAAAAAAAAAAAACGTTAAAGTAGCTTTTGCAAGGTCACCATCAGCATTGAGTATGACACTGCATCGATGTGTTAGTGCTACAATTTACTTCAATTTTAAGTGTTGAATTCGAATTATATATGATAAACATAATAAAAACAAAAACGATGCTGAGCGTTTACAGTAAGTCTAAACAACTAGTAGGCAGCCTCTATTTCTAAAGATACTTTTAAATTTAATTATATTGATTTTAATTTTTTTTTTTAGTTATAACTTATAAGGTAGGGTGAATTGATTTTTGCCAAAAAGTGCATGCATTATACATTAATAATTGTTATAATATTTCTATTAACTCATAAGTCAACAAGTCAATAACGACGCAGCCGCGACTCCAGGTGGTGATTGAGATTTGAGGGGGTCACATCCTACCCGGTTTGAGGGTTACCCCCAGAAAATTATATTAATAAATGTAAGTTATAATACAATTGTTCATTTCTAGGTGTCTTTCCTCACCCCTACCCCAAAAAATAGGTCTCTGGAGTCACGCCTATAATAGCGACATAGGTACAAGAGCATCGTAGGACGGTGTATGAAATAGGTTATAGTACAACCAGTCTAAATATTTTAGACCACCTAATTAGTATTTTATTTTATTTCTGTTTTCCATTTTTTTTTTTTGTGTTTCCGATTATTTTAAAAATAAATCGGAATTTTTACTTTTGACTTCTTCAGACTTAAAGTACTTACTATAGCTAATTTCCAATCGGAATCAAACCTTAAGTTAAACATTTTTAGTGTCCTAAAAGGCAATGACTGACAAAGAACACACGGTTGCAAAACCAATACATTTGTCACTCCGCTCATATAATATAAAAGTGTGAAAAATTGTTTTTAAAAAAAGTTCTTTGATTGTTGTGAGGTTAATCAACACCTTAATAACTATATTTATTTGAGAGGACCCTAAAATGAATAACACATCAATTTAACAGTCATATATATATACATATATTACATACACAATATTACTATTATTATATTGTGTATATTATTTGTCGTTGTAGATTAAGGAAAGTTGGTACATCAACACTTTTCAAGGATAAGCCATTATTTTTAAACTATTTAATAATGGTTGAAAATTTAGATATAATTTGATATCAATGATATCATTGCACATTGGCAGTACCTAAACATGTATTTTTTTTTTTTTTGGATAAATCACTAAAATTTCCAAACAGAATTGAAGTAGATCCTTTACTCTTTCCAAATCTGTAGGGATCGTTTTTTGAGTATATACTTGTATATGTATAGCCTACAGTCCATTTAATCTTTAATCCATATTTTTCGTTATTGGAGTAAAAGAATTTTTATTTAGAGCCAAATCACTTACTCGTAAATGACTATTATACCTATATTATTATAGATATTCTCGAAATTCGTTGGTTTTGGACGATCAGGTGGAATTTCGTGTTCCGCTTTCATGTTAAAAATATCGATATCATATTGAAATTATCTCATAGGTGTCCATATATATTCATACAATGACCTAAGCTGGTACCGCGTACTATATATGATAATATAATATTACACCATAGTCTACACACTCCTATGTCCCACTACAAGTACCTACATATCGTGAAATTATAGAAATAAATTCTCTTTTCGTCACAACGTTTGTTATGCGATCTAAACCATCGACGAGTTGTTATAGCCATCGTCTGTATACCTATATTACGTCACTAACTCAAAAACCGCTCTCCCTTCCGCCGGCATATTATTATGTCGTTTTTATCTTCGCTGTAGACTTAGTGCTTCCTCTATAGAGCCGTACTACTTTCACCTGGCCGCGCAATAGCTGTGAACTCGTAACCGAGCGGCACACGTACAATACGCTACGACAGGAGTGATCGTCTATCGTGAGTAAAACAATTTTATTTTCATTTTATACAGTAAAAACATATTGTTTCTGCACATAGGTTTTGAACATAAAGTATAATATCTAAGTATAGGTATAGGTAATTAAATCTCTTTTCCGACAACGTTATTCATCACGAATTATCGTCTACGATATGTATACCGTTCTATTAATCATTACGATACATCGACGCATAATATTGAGTTTTTGGTTAATATATACGAATTATTGAAACATTTCTAAAATATATAATCATTGTAGCTGTACTACGTAAAGCAATATTTTTCGAGACCAATAGAAATTCGGTAAAAATGCTTTTACTTATAATCTAACAGGTATAGATAACATTATAATAAGTTTTCAGTTAAATAGTAACAGCTGTAGTTATTATTGAAGATAATGCCATAATGGTGTTTTACATTTTAACGGAACATTAATATTATTTATATTTCTCGACAGTTGACCGTAATTTCACATATATATTAGTACACTGTTCACATACATTCATTGGTACTTAAAAAACCATTAGTCAAGTATTTATTGGCCATTTCATTAGAAGGTATTATTGAAGGTAAAATTGTCACCTGGATTTGTACACAGAAGTGATATTTTATTTTTAAGGAGTTTACAAAAGGATATATAATGATAAAAATACAACAAACATTTTTTTGGTATAATATGAGAAAACCTATCGAAGTATAATTATCGTTTTATTAGTGTAATGCTGACATTTATATTTAGTATTCAATATAAGTTACATACAGTCTTAAAGTAAATTTCCTATTTAATTAGTATAAATAAAATGTATAATTATACACTTGTTCTTAAATTGTTTAAAATATATTCATGCTCTAGTAATTATATTACGAACAACTTACTTAATACCTCATTTTTTATGTAAGACCTCAAGAACATCAACATCTATGAAATACAATTCACAATCATAATATTATTTTAACTGTCATTTTAAATGATTAATTATTAATAGTATAGTTTTTAAGAAAAATAACAATATAACAATGTTCACTGCGTTATTAGTGTCATCGTATTAAAATATTATGTAAGTAATTTGTAGGTAAAATTGTTGTTTTTTCCAAGATATTTCCTTGATAGTCTTAAATTATTATTGTCAAGGACCAAGGTCGCCGAAAATGTTTGTAGGAACCTGTCTACATACCGCTTGTTAACTTATGTGGCATTAAAGGCGTCAATAAGTATTTCCTATATTTTTATAATTTCAAAACGGTTTGTAAACGTTTACGAAAACGATTGAGATCGATCACTGATAACATATCGGTAGACGATAAACGATCAAAAACGGATTACGAAACAGAACTATAAACGATTATAATTATTAACATCAAACAGACAACGATTAATAATTGAAATATAGCAAAATTGTAACTATCAGTAGTATATATTTGGTTATTTTTGTAGAACTGTGACTTTACATACTAGGTAGTTTGGGTACAATCAAAAAATAAAATAAATCTTAATGGAATTCAAAGTTTAACGGTTGAATGTAAAACGCTAAATATTGTTCATGATGTTTTAATTGTTAATAACGCTAAACTCATAAGTACATCGAATAACGTTTATACGCATAAGTTGAATAACGTTTAAACGCATAAATTGAATGACGTTTAAATTCTTTGTAACGTTGAACAGTCAATCGATCACAACGCCTAGGGTTTTTTACATCGCAAATGGTGTTATTTTTTCGTTGATTTAAGCCCTGAGTTTATTTTAAATGTAATGCTATGAAAATTAATAATGTTTACGCACGTATTAAATAATAGAAGTCAGACAAGTACTCTTAATAAATCTTTAAAAAATTCCAACGCAAAATAATATTATAATTCATAAGGTATTGCACGTTTATACATATCATGTAGTATTAGTGTCTTACCTACCTATATATGACGTCCTATACATTTGGTATGCACATGACTTCACATAATTCTTAGTCTATTGTCGCATTTGTAATTTTTATCGTGTACAACACAATATTTGTTTCTTGAGGAAATGTTATTATAGTACTTAATTGATTAATTTATTCATATTACCATAAGTTATTCACATAGTTATATATATAAATTATACCTTCCGTATATTATTGTGGTATAGCAATTTATTGTTGAATTACTTTTATAATACACCATAGCAAATATTAAGGATAGCTAAAATACACTTTTAATATTAATTATATTATATAGTTATAACTTATAATATACTTATTAATACTATTTTGAAATGTAGGGAGAAAACTATTTATTTGTTGTATAAAACGTATTTTATTTAATTTTTAATTTGTGTAATGGGGGAATGTAGATATTGTAGCTCTTTTATTGATTGTGATGAATTATGATTTATGGTACGTACCATTTTGACCATCATTTAAGTCATTTTATTCTTATTTTTGTTTTTTTTTTAAATTTTATTGAATCAAGGCTTTAAATTATAATCTGTGGGCAATCGCTATAAACATCAAAAAACTATATACACATAATAATCATACATTGAATAGGTACCATCTAAACAACTAGGACACTAAAGTTACCATTTTTCAAATTGTATTTATCGAAAAATGTTTTACTCCCTTCTTCTTCAGAGGTTTTCATCTCATTATTACTAATGTCATTATCTACTCATCTTATAAAATAAATATGTATTTTTTTTTCTCCTTAATAATTCGTCGTATGACAGACATAACCTAACCAATTATATTAAGTAATTTCATATTTTTAACCACGAAATATAAATTAGATACATTTATTATTTGAGATTACCAAACAATCTTTTCAAGGATTTTGATAATCATCACCTTAAATCCAAGGCCATTCAATCGTTGAAAATACTATTTTTAATCTCCTCTAAAATTTCTAATACCTACTATCTTGACGTATAATAATAGGACCTTACACGAGTAATAATGTGAACTTTAACTATGATCGTTGCGTTTTGTTTGTGTATTTCAATAGTTACAATATGTGGTACTCGGAGACTCTCTCTTACCTTCACACGACTAACCTGGTGGTAATCGCCGCCTATGCTGCACTGGTCGCGGTTATATTCTTGGCCATTATTAAACTGTACACTTGGTTGACAACAGGTGTATACCGCGGTACCACCATCATGAAAGGCAAAGTCGTCATCGTCACAGGATGCAACTCGGGTAATGTTTTCGGCACATTTTTTATTGACACATGCTCTCACACACACATATATGTATATATATATATATATATATATTAAGATTACATACGAATTTAACGTAGTTGGACGCGGATCACAAATGTTTATATTAACTTTATTTGTGTTATGTTCTTCTCAGGTATTGGCAAAGAAACGGCCAAAGATCTGGCCAAGCGTGGCGCCAGAGTGATTATGGCTTGCAGAAACATGGAGACCGGATCGAAAGCCAGAGGTAAGATCGATTACTGTAATACTAATAATAATTCGATATTTCCACGAGATTGATCCGCGATCGGATTGAGTTATTCCTGCTTCATTGTGTAGGAAAATGCAATGTAGGTATAGGAAAGTTATACATTTTGATTGACTCGAATGTTGAGAGAAATCAAATCGGTACTCACTACTCGCAGTACCAACAACAAAGTTTCGGCGTCCTGTAGCACTGGAATTGTTATTCGACCATATATAGTTGTGTAGGTTCTACATTTTTGATGATAAATCTGCCCTGCATCATCCCCTTCTGCTCTTATGCCACTGTTGGTAGGCAACCGAGTTGAGAGTGAAAAAACATGGTGAGACATCAAGACATGTATACAATTTTTACTCATCAATGAAGTATATAAATAGTGATTTTGTATGAAAAGTATCTGAAAGTCATGTATTATAAAAATCGTGGATTATAAAAATAAGTTGTTAATTTATATTATTTTTATTTTTATAAAAGCAATAAACGTTAATATTTTATTTAAGATGCACGCAATTTAATTTGAGAAATCCAAAAAGAAGAAAGGAAATAGAGGTTATTAATTTACGTACGCCTAACGAAAAAATCAGTATCTAATTATAATATTAGGTTACAAAATATATAATATGTGGTTGGAAAACAACTCTGATATTTGTTGAAAGAATTTATTTGTATTTATTTGTTACGAAATTATAGGTATACAAAAATAAAATACAATTTTACAACCCATTACTTTATGATATTAATTAATGTTCGAAAACTTGACCCAGATTCATGTATGTATAACTTACATATGTAATGCCCATACGGAAACCAGGAAATTGTTATTTATGCTCCTTCGGTGTGCTTTTCGTTACTCGTTATTTATCCACCAACTGCGTTTATTATAAAGTCATGTTTGTTTCTTATGTTTGTGTTGACTATATTGATCGGTATTTGGGTTTGACGTGTTGGGTCAACAATTATACCAGCACACTTCTTTGTTGTGTATTTTAAATTTTAAAATGTATTGGACATTTTATTATTCTTTCATCAAAGTTGAATAATTCTCGGGTTTTTTCAGACGAAATCATCAACTACAGCGGAAATTCTGACGTGGTGCTCATGGAATTGGATTTGAGCAGTTTGAATTCAGTACGTCGATTTGCAGCCAAAGTAAACAAACAAGAATCTCGATTGGACGTACTAGTCAACAATGCCGGCGTGGCCAATACTTTTGGTAAAAAAATTACCGAAGATGGTTTAGAACTTACCATGGCCACCAATCAGTATGGCCCATTTTTGCTGACACATTTACTTTTACGTAAGAAAGCATAACATAATAATTATAAGCTAGAGCGCTTAAAATACTTAATCGTTGTACGTAATGCACTGCGTATAATTATAAAATGTACTACAGTCGTGGATAGCTGAACGATATTTCATAAAATTTTAAATAAAAATGCAAAATGCAACATAAACTAAAATATGTACATTACTCTGGCCCAAATTGTTGAACAATTATAGGTATTTGTTTACATAAATATTATAGCTACATGTCCTATGCAAAGTTTAAGAGTATTTTTTGTTTTAGCATTGTTGAAGAAGACCACCTCCAGCAGAATTGTAATAGTCGCATCCGACTTGTACAAGCTCGCGAAATTGAACTTGGCCAAACCGAATCCGACCAACCAATTTCCCGCCTACTTGTACTATGTCTCAAAATACGCCAACATCATGTTCTCAATGGAATTAGCACGCAAACTCAAGGACAGCAATTCTGGTGATTATCCCATAGGCCATCGTTTCTGAACCGATAAAATGTAAAATATTATTTTCGTTGAACAGGTGTCACGTGCAATTGTCTTCATCCCGGTATCATCGACTCCGGAATATGGAGAAACGTGCCATTCCCGTTGAACTTGGGTTTGCAACTGATCGTCAAGACCATGTTTAAGGTATGGGTCAATGTTTCATACATATGTAGTTTAAAATAAACGTCGCAAATGACAAATCATACTACCACAGTGGCGCAGTTACATGTCAAACATAAACTGTACACTATTATTTAATATTATAGTCTTACTAGTTACTTTTATAACGTAAAAATGTGCTTTCACAATGTAATTATTATAATATTACATATGCTATTATAGTGATGTGAATTTGTACACTACAATAATTAATGTTGAAATACATCAAATGACGAATAGTATTATTATACACGGTATTACACGCGCTACAGTACTACTAAGTTCAGCAACTAGACGTATGCGTACAGAATTAGTTTATACAATTTTTTATATTTATGCATAGCTATAGGTACAAAAAACACAAATATTATCATTTATGACAATTCTCATTCATTTAATATTTAAAATATTTGGTCCTTTTTTATATTAATATTTATCTTAAATTTAGTAAGCTATCTTGTTATATCATCCAACTTTTGGTTAATTTTCCAATTTCTTGATAAGTATAATAAAGTATACGCCTATAGCACCTAACCTAAAATTTACTGAATAAAACACTCTGCATCTCATATTATTTTATCATTGTATACTTACACGAGCAGCAATAATTATATAATTTGCATAATTAAAAAACAAATTTTGAATTTAATAATCTATTGTAACTAACCTGTACTTTATACAATGTGTGCGATCCATATCGTATCTTATCATATAATATATATTTTTTAAATATTGAAACCATAAATTATGTGTTATTAGATATGCGCATTTTAGTGTTTTCATACATCGTATAGTGTATGTGTACCTGCTCTGCGCCACTGTATATAATATAGTAAAATATGCACAACCATTAAACTAAATTAGTTTTATTGAAGTCTATTTACATCAAACTAACAGTATTATAATTTATTTCATATTTCGATGTGATCTACTCTCAGACTACCGAACAAGGTGCACAGACTTCGATTTACTTGACCGTCAGTGAAGACGTTGCTAAGACCAGTGGGAAATACTTCAAAGACTGCAAAGTAAGTATGATTTTAATACATAAATTATATATGTTTTGGTGTGTTTATGCATTCACACGTGCATTGCGTGACGGGTGAGTAATTATATGTGCAGTGAATTTGAATTAGTGGCTCAATCTGCTTCCAAATTAAAACAATCTCTACATTGTGTTTATGCACGCTACTGTTATACTTTATATTATTATTATTTTACGTTCTCGAATTACCTGTGCCTTAGTACTTTAATTACGAATAGCGGGCATCAAAGCCGTGGTCTAAAATTATTGTTTATTTACTTAACTTACCAGAATATTGTATATATTCAACTTTCACAATTTTCATTATAAACTGCTGAATTTGTATCGATACCGAGGTTTTCCACTGTAAGTAGTTTGGTACAAGTCAAAGTTGTTGCTTGTATTATCAATGACATCATTTTAAAGGAGAACAATTCACACGTATGTTGTTGGATCGATAAACACTTGTCATTGGCAATAAACAATATTATTATTTATTGTGCAGAATAAATTATTGTTCTAATCGTACCACATATAAATAAGTCTATTTCGAGGTACGTTTAACAGTTTTTAGAATCTTTTCAGATTAGTGGCAAGGTTTTGTCCTCATCAATCACCTATCCGCTGACCCGCGTGCCACTTGAAATGTTTTCACGTGCCAATGTGTCACGCGTTAAGTGTGCTCTGCAATAATAGTGAACAATAGTGTCACGAGTTTACTGCCACCCCCGCAATATAGATTGTCTCTACGGGAAAATCGAGTACTGGATTATTATACCTTAAATTAATAATTTGTGATTAATACGAATTATTCTACTTAGGCGATGCGGTAGGGGGTGCACGACATGCTATAATATTATTATGTCGAATTCGATTAGGTAGCATACATTTAATCTTAACAATATTATTCGCTTCTAAAGGGTACCGGCCCCGACGACGAGAGTGTTAATATTATAATCTCTTTCGATTATATATTATACTGTCACGCTCGTAGTCATCGAGGTAATAAAATATACTAAACGTGTTGTTTATTGAATTTAGGAAGCCAGTTTGAGAAGTGATGTCTTAGACGAAGGAAACGCCAAGAAATATTGGGAGATTTGCGAAAAACTCGTGAAACTTCAACCCAACGACCCAAGACCGTAACACACGTACGACTACGTATATGATATGTGTTCCACATTTTTTTATTCATACCTATGTATCAACATGACGATGTTGACCGTAACACACGTACGACTACGTATATGATATGTGTTCCACATTTTTTATTCATACCTATGTATCAACATGACGATTGATTAATATTTATTATTGATAATTGTGTAGGTACCTACCTATGACGTTGGTTCAATTATTATGTACTATTTATTATATGTTATTATATTTTGATATATTATTATTATAATAAGTTTATTAAATTGTCTTAGGCGTACTTACCTATTATGGTTTTAGAACAAACTTCCTATACTTCGAATATTAATCAAAACCGTTATTCTTTCATAAAGTAATCAGATAGGTAGGTACATATAGAGTATATTTTTTTTTACAAGCTACTAATTTTTCAAAATAAATCATTTTGTTTACGGTGATGTAATATCTTTTTAAAGGCATTAATAAATCATGGTATATATTTTTTTAAACATAATGTAATTATAATTTATTGCTAACAGGTTCGATTTTTTTTTTGTATGTATTAAGATGCTATATATCATTATTGCAATGGTGTTAATTTAACTCTATTAAAGTATAGGTACCTAGTATGATGTACTGTATAGATATCTGTATAGTATTTTTGGTAAAGTAAAACAATACAATTTTTTAACAAGACATCACTAAATGGGTAACCCAAATTTGACATTTAAGTATACTACCATGATACGTATGTTATGATTTATGAACGGATAGAACATATCGAAACGTTCATATTAGAGATTAAACGATGTAAATATTGTTATAGTTTCTATTGACTATGAATCACAAAATTTATAATGAAAATAAATTGTGTAACAGACGCACGAACAATGCATTTTATGCATTTACTACAGATTTTAAGAACTAAGCACTGTAAATTGTAAAGTATATCGGATTACCCCACCATGATGATTGACTGAACCACAGGGCAGCGCCGGATAAGCAAGGTATCCACCGAGTCTTACGATTTTAACTGGCCCTAAAAAAGTTAACAGCCCATTTTTCAATAAAATCATTAATAGCTATCTATATTTTAATAATAACATCATAAACTATAAATATTATATTAAGCAGTTGACATAGATTAATAATAAATATACTACTTAGCCGGGCCCAAATGTTAAGCGGCCTAACGAGTTCAACTCGGTAACTCGGCGGCTCTATCCGGGCCTGCCACAAGGGTATACTATACATAGCCGATGTATCAGAAAGATAATAATATGACAAATTATGTAACTTGTGTTCTTATCAATATAATATAATTAATTGACTCTTGCGTTACACGTACAATTTAAACATTTTTATATTATTAAATATATGAAAAAAAAAATTAAAGAATATTGATTAAAAAACAAGTTATTAAATTTCTATTACACCCTGTATACACCAACCTAATACCTGTGATATTAATCAAGGGTATCGCCCATTTGCGTAAAAAAAAAAACGAATTTGTTTTGAGTACAGCCCATTTGCGCCAAAATAAAAAAGTATGTTTTTTCAGACAGCCCATTAGCGTCAAATTTACCTGCGTAAACATTTGAAAATAACGACTTGGATAATTCTTATATTTTAAAGACGTCATGTCTGTAACTATAATAGTTAGTAATAATTTATTACCTATAGTTTTTAAAAACAATTTGTATTAATTCTGATTATTCTTTCAAAAAAATGTGTGGTATACAGTTATTATTTATTATTATTTTAAAAACATTCGTATAATTAATTAAGATTTAAATATAATTTTGTATAGTAAAAAATATACATATTACATTATTATATTTATACCAGGTAAATTTGGCACAAGTGGGCTGTCGGGAAAAACATGCCTTTTTTATTTTGGCGCAAATGGGCTATACCAAACGAATTCATTTTTTTGGCGCAAATGGGAAACACCCATTAATCAATCCAAAATGAATTTTGGCCTTCGGATTCGTGATTAAACTTCGCTGTATGTAGGTATACTAATGTAGTATGTTTGCAAAAGAATAGCGATTGTCAAATATTAGTATTACAGAAAATAAATAATATATTAATATGCAATAAGCACATTTAGTCTGCTAAGATGTGACGATGTTCAATCAAATAATTATCTCAACAATTTGATAAATACTTATTTAATTATAACAAATTAATTTTATAATATTGGGGGTGGTATTTAAATTATTTAAGAAACAGTAAGTTAGGCGATGCAATTTTTGAATTGTTAAATAATAAATATTATAATAGTATAGTGGTAGTTCGGATTTATATTGGACTATTTGAATGATTAACCAATATTATGATTATAATAGTACCTTCATATTTTTTTATTGTCTTATACCGTATGTGTACCTTATGTCATTGTACGAGGAGTTTCTTACGATTATGGATCGATAAAATGAGATTTCGAAAATTGTTTTCTGATTAATGCCTAAAAAATTGTAACAATGAATTATGTTTGCCAACAATTTTGTATATTTCAATTTTTTTAGGACCTACTCATTAGATTACCGATTTCAGCGTATAAAAATATAGTTAAAAGAAAAAAATATTTAGTTCTTGTAAATTAAATTTATAATAATCATTATTATTCAAAGTGTTAATGCATTTACTAAACTTTAGGGTATCATGGTTCACAAACTTGTGAACCAAAATTGGTGATTTGATAACCAAAATTTTCAGGAAAAAAGCATTACCAAAGTCCATTAAAAATATAGTTATTATTAACATAACCATTTGAAAAAATAAAGTTGATTTTGCTGTTGATACTACATACTACTAACTACATGTTTAAAAATGTTGATATTGTTCTAAATAAAGAAATACGTCTTAATTTGTTTTTTCGAAATCCCATTTCATCGATCCATAATCGTTAAGAAACTCCTCATACAACGACATAAGATATACCCCGTATAAGACAATAAAAAAATATGAGAAACTATAGTCGAATTATTAGTTAATCATTCAAATATTCAAATATAAATCCGAACTACCCAAACTATATACGAACTATACTGTTATAATATTTATTATTTAACAATTTAAAAATTGCATTGCCTAACTCACTATTTCTTAAACAATTTAAATACCCTCCCTAAATTAATTTATTATCATTATATTAGTGCTATCAAGTTGTCGAGATCATTGTTTGATTGCACATCATTACATCTTAACAGACTAAATCCACAAAAATAACAAGTGCCTATTAGATATTAATATATTATGTTATATGTATATATACAAATACATGTTCTAGGCCAGTAAATATGACAATAATATTGTCTGCGTTCAGACTTTATTTATTTATTTGTTTATTTATCAGAGGGATGATATATCAATCATCTCCGAAAACCAATTGTTGAACCGTTTTTAATTATTGACATTAAGAATTGCAAAGCTATGTTATCTCGGATTCTGCTTTATGAATTCCATTGATATTCAATCAAAAAAATTTTAAAATCGTATAAAATCCGTTAATTACGATTAAATAAAACTATATAATATAGAGTAGGTGTAGGCAACGACTTATAGAGACTATACGAACATGCAGTAAGTTGAATTAGAAAAAGAATAAAGGTGGACTTCTTTGAACAATTAGCGTTCCAAAGTAAATTAATTTAAAAGTAACTAGTGGGGGACTTCGTCCCCTAAACCTCCCTAAAAGTCTCTAAAATATTAATCATAGATGTTCAATGACTATTACAGATACCAGCTATTATTAGTAAATTACAATACTAATAGGTATTTATTTTAACGCCTATCAACACAGCAACACGTCTGACAAATTTAAATACAAAACTAAGAGGCTGTAAATATAGTAGCCTGATAAAATTAATTATTCAATTAACTTTCAGTTTAAATTAATTTAAGAATTTTACTATTGTTACCTTCTAAAAAATATTAAATTCATAGATTAGAAATATTACTTTTTTATTAATATATAATTTTTTTTTCAGTATGAATGTTGGACCAGCAGCATTTATTAATATTAATAATAAATTATGTTCAGAACTTACGATTTTTCTTTTTTGGAAGTATTATATCATCTATAGAACTGAAGTCTCGCTCATATTCTGATGAAGATATTGTAATTGTTCTATTTGCAGAGGTCAAATCCTTGAGATATTCTATATTTTCCACTCGAATGTCTTTAATTCACAAAAACTATTAGTCTAATAGCACTAATTTCATCAATTTTGAATTTTTGTGACAAGCGAAAAAGCTATCATCGCCATACCGAATATTTTGAAATCGCATTTGATGACTGAGAAGTAAATAATCTGTTTTATAGATTATTTGAAATACTTCTGAAAAATTGTCTGGAATTGTATTGGACATGAAGTTGGATGCCTTTAAAAACCATTTCAATTTTTTTAATTATCTTGGTGATTTTTATTTTTTCCTCGAATGAACAATTTTTGACGTTTACTTAACATAGCCATTAGTTTGTACTCATAATTTATAAATATTTATGAAATAAAGTATAGGTAGGTGATGTAATGTATAGGGCCAACGTGAAGTGTAAGAGTGTGATTCTTACTATTTTTAACTAAATTACAAATTACAATAAGTTACAACCGCAACAAGCCTACATAATTAGGTTAAGATTAGGCGCGCGGTGTATCAAAATTAAATACAAATAATATTTAATTTTCTTAGAAAACGATCGCCATTTGTCAAAAACAACAAAGCTAACGCCAAAGCTTACTCAATTCTCTTAGTGCCTTCAATATCCCTCTTAACCTTTCCTCCATTCTCAATAGTAATTCGGAAATCGTCATCAAGAAATCAATCAATTTTATTAGTCTGGTTTTGCTATTTAGCAACATTGTTTTTTCTTATTGTAATTTTTTGTTTAATTTTTTAATTTTGTCAAATTCAGTAATTATGTAATCGAGCTGTAATAGTTGTTAACTAAAAGTTAATAAAATAATTAAAAAAAAATATTTTTAGCACTTTATCAGTTTATACCATAAAATAGATTAATACATGGTTGAAACACTTGAAACATGTTATATAATATTAAATTACATAATATTTTATTATTGCGTTCTTAACATATGTGATAATAAACTGATTAAGAACTAAAAATAAAATAAAATATTAGTAATTTCAATTTTTTTTCTAATTTATTTAAAAATATTTAATAAAAAATAAATATTTTATTTATTTATTTCATTTTTATAAAAAAATGTTGCGTTCCCCTGCGTTCCTTGATGAATAGAATAAAGAGGTACGCTATGAATATGAAGAAAAATTTAAAAAAGTTCCGTCCTTCTGAGACCCCTCCCCCTCCCCCAATTCAACCACTGCCAACATGATATACGAACGGGACATCTGCCATATGAATTGCAGCGGACTGCGATTAAATACGTCTGTATAATGTTTTATAGTATATTATACACAATTTGTTTTTTGATACAACAACAGTTTTCGGAAACTCGTGATATTTTATATCGTAAGAACAAAGTT